AACTTTAATTTGCAAAGATTTTTGCAAATTTTCTATTTAATTTTTTGCTATAAAAAAATTTTAGTTTTCCTTGAAATATTTCCGTAACTCATGCGCCGCATTGAACCAAAGAAAATTTAATGTTATTTAATGATATTAAAACAGTTTGGTGTTTACTTGACCGTAATTGTTAATTAAATTTAATTACACGCCAGAGTTTTCATGCATGTGCATGCATATATATACCTTCGCTCGATAGCACAATCCCAAGCACAGACTCACTTAATATGTGAGCAAAACTATATATAATACAAGCAACGCCACTGCTAAGCACACCATGGCGTATGAGTGTCTATGAAAAATGTTCATATGTTATTTGGTGAACCACACATATCACATGAGAAATAGTGGTAAGTAAGTGAGTGAATGTTTAATATTTTCCCATCAGTTCAGTAAAGGTTGAATGGTGCAAAAATGATTGAATATTTCAATAAATTTACTGAACTTGTAAAATGCAATTAAAAATCATTTTCATACGCATTGCTGTTATTTTTAAACAAACTTATTGTAGTAAAACGAAATATTTACTAAAAGAAAAACTTTTTAAAATACATGTAATTTTATTTTTATATATAGCAAAGTAATTTTAAAATTCTTAACTTTTTATAGTTGTTAAACCCATCAAATTTTTATAACATATATATATATATATATATATATATATATGTATATATTAACATTCCTGTTATAAAACTATATATATACACCATACACAACTTAAGATTCTATGACTACAAACCACTTACTCACAGTCAGGTAGTTTATGGTAGTCTACTAAGACACTTTTACGTGATGTTTACTTGATTTTCTACTTAATTGATTTTGTTGTTGTTATGTGTTAGCTTTTTATAGTGTTTACCATTGAGTAAAATATTGACAGTTGACATTAACGAACTGTCATGGGAGTTATGAAAATTGCACTTAAAAGATGATTGCTTTCTTAGCTGCTATATAAATTGAAAACAATTTTATAATCGATAAACAGATAATAAAAAAGTTAAGTAAAGTAAAAAGAAATAAAAGCAGAGAAAAAAGAGTGAAACTTCAAAATAAAAGAAATAAAGGCAAACAATTTGTTTAAGGAAAATACACTGAAAAATAG